TTAAGTTCTATTATACAGAATATATATTATATGAGAAATTTGAAAACAGCCTGAAAATTTGGGGCAAATTGAGTCTAGAGTTTGATATTTGCTTCTTATAATTTTAAAAGATATTTTACAAAGACCCTTCAAAAACTAACTTTGTTTGTGGAACTCTATTAACTTAAATTATATTTTACTGCACTAACAAAATCAAATAATGCATATATGCTACTTTTTTATTTTTAATTAGCTATGTTTTAGCAATATCGTTAAGATCTTTTATTTAAAACATATGAAACTATGCTTTTAATCTAAAAGTTTCTATTTGTTTTTACCAGTTAGTCATTAACAATAGTTCTTAATTATTTCCAGATTTAGGAAACCTTATAAAAAATGTTCCCGGAGGTAATCTATCACTATATCTAGAATCTGATCTAAAAACTCCCTAAGAACAGTACTTTGTAGGTTAAACATGAAGAGCAAAGTTACTGTACTTGGGGAATAGTACCTTTTCTCTTCATGTTTATTAAACTGTTTGTCCAATATCAGTTTCACAATTACTTGCGCTACATTAAGTAATTCTATTTTTAGAACACAAATAGTACGTTATTGCGTTGTTTGCGGTTAATATTATTTGTTAATGTATTTATAATATAAATTGTCACTTGAATTTGTCAATTTATTTGTCAATTTATTTGCCAATTTATTTGTTTACAAATTTGATAATTTATTTTAAATTACAGACCTCAAATATTGTTAGTAAAAACCTTATAAATACATTCACAATTAATTATCCTTTAAATGCTATTTAATGTCAATTTAGTGAAAATAAAAGACTTCGTATTGTTTGTTTTGCTTGCAAAAAACTACAAAAAGTAACCAAAGTTGTTTTATTTAAAATTTTTGTTTGCAAAAAGATTTGTCAATGGCATTTTTTAATAAAAAAGTCACCTATTTGGAAATATTATGAAATTTGCAGCGAAGACAATAAACTGGCAGTTTGTTTGTTGTGTAAAAGCAAGAACTCACGAGGTGAAGATGGAAAAAAAGCGAGTAAGTAAAACTATTACGTATATTATATCTTATTATATGTTTTGATAAAAAAATATTTACTCTTGTACTTTTTTTAATCATAGTTCTTTTGCTCAGGTATTTTAATTAATCTAGGTTTAAGTACTCTTTTTATTTCAGCAAAAAATTCTCTGAAAAACTACCAAAACAAGCTTTCTGAGAAGTACACAAAATTAAATAGAGCTTCCCGGAAATAGGGAGCAAAAACGAGGGTTCTCTCATTTATACCGACTCTAAGATACCATCAGTAACATGTATGTTAAAAAAGAAATAGTTAACTCTGAAAGAGTCAGCTGAAAAAAAAATTGTATTGGGATATTAATGATCCGAAATCAATAAAATATTATTGAAGCATTTAGTAGCACCGATAATGATTCATCTCCGCTTCGGAAGAAAAATAATGTCAATGAAATTGATAAAACAACTGAGATACACTATAGTTTCTGGAAATATTTTGAGGAAGTCGCTACAGAAAACACGCACAAGTGCTGGTCAGCTGATGCAAACCAATATCCAGACCAGAAGTTCTTAAGATTTATTTATCCTCTTTAGTTAGTAGTGTGCATAGCGAGTGTGCATAGCGAGTGGCTATTTTCGGAAGCAGGTGTAGTTTACGAGGAAAAGCGGAATTGTTTGCTATTAACAAATGTCGAGAAAACTGTTTTTAATTATCATAATTTACCACTGATAGATTTTAAGTATTAAACTTGTTTTAATTTAAAAAAAAATTTGGTGAATATTAAAACCTTATATATATATAGCATATTTATAATATGATTATTCTGTTTATTGTATTAGTTATAGTAATATAATCTATTTCTGATTGGTTTTTGCCATATCTCAGTATTCGGTATTCGGTCGAATAGTTTGCAATATTCGGCCGAATAGCATAAAATTTGCAATATATCGAATAGCATAAAATGTTGATGAACACACCGAATACCGAATAGTTGCCGAATATTCGTGGCATTTTTACTTAATTTATAGTATTCATAAACAGTTCTATTCGAGCTATACCAGCATCTTAACAGTGACGGATCCAGCATTTTTTGGTGTTCGAAATAACTAACTTTCAGACATGGAGTTAACTCCAAACATTTGTATGTTTATGCTTATGTCAAAAAATGATGTTTTGCAAAAAATTGCAATGAATGGAGGCTGGGAACAAAAAAGCCCTAAAATTTCATTGCAATCTACCCCCCCCCCCCCTACCCCGAACGTAGAGGCAGCAAGTTGATAAAAAACTTTTTGTACTTTTCTCAACTAAACTTGTACTCATCAATAAATTTTAAGTTTCATAGTATTATCTCTCAGCGTATAAAAATTATGACCATATATAGTTTAAATCCCCCTCAATTTGAGGGGATTACAAATTTTATATGGTCAACGCTGAGAATACTATGAAACTTAAAAGTTATTGATGAATATAAGCTTAGTTGAGAATAGTACAAAAAATAATTTAACAACTTTTTGTGAGGAGGTGTTACAATCGATACCCAAAACCAACTAAATACGCACTCGCCCAAAGAATGGCACTTTGTTTTTATAAAACAATATCATTATAGAGTATGTTTAAAAAAATTATTAAAAAAAAAAACACAATTTCTTTTTAAAAATAAGCTTTTCCTATAAGAAATCTGCATTTTTTTATAGTTTACCAAAAAACGATACCAAATAACAAGTTCCTAATATGGTATTTATTACCGTTAATTTTGCAAGCTGTAGATCTAATCTAAGTTGTATAAATATTAGCTGTGGCTAGAACTGTAGAAGCATGGGTTTTAGCAAAAGCTACAGAATGTAATATATAACGTAAGGGAAAATTACAATATGCAAGTATGGACTTCATTATATAACTTGAACATCTTTTACTTACCTTTAAACTAATATACTTACTGTAAATCTGTAATAAAGGAACCAGTGCCGTGACTAATTGGTGGGAAAACTCCCTCCTTCTCCCCTTCCCCCCTCAAAAAAAAAAACTGTCATTGTCATAGGGCCCCAAAATCTTAAAAAAAATTTACTAAGTATTACAATAAAAAAGACTACCTAAGATTGCAAAAAGGACCCCTAAATTTGCTGCCCCTTTTTTTGAGGGCGCGTAATAGGCTAGCCACGGCACTGAAAAGAACCAAACTTTATAAAAATACTACTTCCAAAGTTTGCACACAAAACAATTTAATAATAATACTATACTAGTGTAAAGCTATAAAAAATAAATGTTTACATCATAAGTATATGTATCTCCTAAATTTTTAAATTTTCATAATATAACTATAGAAACGCAGTAAGTTATTTGTTAAGTAAGTTGAATATTAATTTTTTTTTTTTTTTTTGCGTGCAAATACTATTTTTATTATTGCCAAGTGACAAGAGCTTAAAAAAAAACTAATATTATTTTGAGAAAGGAATTTTGAAAAATTCATACACAATAATATCACACGCAAAAAAATTTAAATAACCAATATTATATGTGACACAGTATTGAAACAATTCAATAAAATATCCAATTTTTTTTTGCCAAGATTTGTCATTATTTAAATATAAAACATCTTTTATACATCAGAAATAACGACCGAGGCTTCCAACAACCAACATACCAAATGCTTTACATACAACATACAAAATGTTTGTTTTCATTTACATTAACATCGTATTTTACAAAAAATAACTAAACAAAGTTTCTCATCTTATCATTAGAGCCTTTTAAAAAATTAAAACTTTTTTACATCAAAACAAAAGAAACTACAATAAAATTGTGTTTTTGAACCGAAAATGGAAACTTTAAAAAATTCTATAATGTTATATATATAATAATAAAGTTTCAAAACTTGTTGCCAAAACCTATAAAAGCGCAAATATCATAAAAATACAATATAAAATATATACAAAGTAAATACAGTAAAACATCTCCAAATAATAAGAAGGAGAAAATACAATTAAGGTTACACAAAATTAAAAAGACTAATACGTGATTATTATAAAAAAAAGTTTTAATTAATAAAATAAAATTTTTAACCAATAAATGGAATTAAATTCTTAAGTTTATTTTTAAAATCGGAAAAACATTGGATATATAAAAATTAAGTATAACAATTTTATTCCAGAAATATAGTGCACGAAATATAATACAAAGCTTGTAAAACTTTGTTTTTTAAATTCGTTTATATACAAAATTGTTATTTCTAAGTATTAACTAATTGGATTTAGAGAAAAAAGATCTTTAAATATGGGTAAAGTTAAGTCGTTTATCGACATGTTTAAAAAGCAAAAGAAGTTATAAACCTTGAGTTCATAATTATTAAGTGTATTCATCTTCATAAATAGTGTTTCGGAATGAGTAAAACGATTTGCAAAATTATTCAAGCGAATCGCCTGCGGCTTTACCGCGGTCCGGCATTGTAACCTATTTTTTTAAGTGCATTCCTAAGCTATATTTGCTTAATTTATACAGCTGTGAATAAATGATTATAAAGTTTGAAGTTTTTTTTATTACATATGATCAAGGTTTAAATAAAAATACATTTACCTTTTTTTGATCTTAATTGTAACAAAATATCTCTATGTTACTTTTGATCTTAATTAGTTAATATAAAACTCTAGTTTCTTCTAAATTGCTTTGACAAGTGATAAATAGTCTTTTTATATTGAATACTTAGCTAGACGAACTAGGCAGAGCCAACAACATCGGCCGGAGGGGTGCGTGCTCCCCCTTTCACACTTTTTTTCTAAAGGACTTTTTTTTTAAGAAAAATTGAAATATAGAAGACTTTTTTTAAAAATTGACGATTGTGCAACAGTTTGAAACCCGTGTCGTTAGCTATGCTAGGATAATATAGAAGACTTTAAAATGCGATTTTACTAGGAACATAAAACAAAATGATCAAGATAAAGTAAAGCCGGTTAGTACGCAAACTAGTTACCATTACCTTTCATTATTTAACTTGGCTACGTGGATGCATCAATTCGTGTTGCGCTCAAGTTGGTAGTAAAAAGAATAGGTGTATGTATTAGCATACTCGAAAGCTGAGGTTCGAGAGCTTAATATAACTACTATATTATAGTAGCAAAAACTCGATGTATTTTGTTTTGTGAATTTTTTATTATATTAAAACGATGAATGTTTTTCGCTTGGTCGGAGACCTTTCTCATCTATTAGCTATTCTACTTCTGTTATGGAAAATCTGGAAAACACGTTCTTGTGCTGGTAACCTTTTTTTGTAAAGATTTCTTTTCTCTACATTAAAGTTTTAATTGTTACCCTATTCAAAGTACTATTTAATAGAAATTTGAAAATTTCTATTAAAAGTATTTTGAAACCAAATTATTTTTTCCCTATTCTTACGCGCCCATTATATCTTATCGCTATATTTTAATTTAAATTGTTGTTATAATTTTTATTAATATTGTTATTTTTGTTATCATTTCTTTTTCATTATTAATAATATTATATTTGTTTTTATTATTATTATTGCTGTTAATATTATTACTGTTACTGATATTATTAGAGATGTTTTTTAATTGTTATTTTTAAATAAACAAACATATAATAGTACTTCTAAATCAGGGATGCGGAGTCCCAAAAGGACTCCAGCTTTATAACTTAATTTTTTTATGGTCTCTTGTGTCTAGAAGCTCTAAAAATGTTGGTTGATTAATGATCTGATATAAGAAAAAAACTTATGATATTTAGTGACTTATTGTTTTTAAACCCGGAGTCCCAATGTCCTTGCTGCTATTATACCTAAGGACTCCAGGTTCAAAATTGACTGTTCTTCTGACCTATAAATCTTGATTTTTTCCCCATTAGTAGCCCATAAGCTTTTTTATATTTTTAAAGCTCCTGGATACCAAAAACTAGAAAAATGTAATCTTTTTCTGACTTTTAAATTCTTTTTGGGACTCCGCATCCCTGTTCCATATATATAAATAAAATAACAGAGATCATCTTTTTCCGGAGATTTCCGGAATTCCTGATATTTTTCTCAACTTTTAGTTTTTCTGGATATCAAAAATGTTTTCCATACATACAAGTTTAGGAATATATTTTTTTAATGTTTTTTTTTTTTTTTTTTTAGGCTTTTTCACTCATCACTCACACAAAAATTAAGAAAAGTTAAAAAAAAAAATTAAAAACAACTTAGCTGAAAGCAAAATTAAATCGAATATACGGGAAAACATATTCCTGATTTTTTCCGGATATTTTACCCAAATGATTTTCAGGATTTTTAAAATATGACCTGGATGATCTATGAAAATAAGTACTTAGGAAAAATGAGTTTATTATGTAGGGATTTTAAAAATGAAACTCTATTTAGCAATTCTATACAAGTGCCTTCAAATAATATTAATAATAAACATATTTGTTAATATTGTTTTAAAAAATGCTGATGCTCTGAGAAACATGTTTATTCGCCATAGCGCCATATTATCAGAAATGTGATGGAAACCGTATGATACTAGAAGGTGAACTTCATACTTCTCCATTATGAAATGAGTGCTCTACCATTAGACCACTACTAAATGTTAATTGTGCAATGATATGTTGACACTCCCAGAATGTACAACATAGGTATTGCGGCCAGTGCATATTTTTTCCTTTTACCTATTTTTACACGATTATAATCATATAATGAGCTAAAATTAGGTCTATGTTTAAGCAGTGGATAAGGGTCAACAGGGGCGAATCCGACCTTTTATTGAGGTTTGAGATTATAACGAGAGGAGTTCAAACTTCATACAGTCATTATTTTTGAATGCTAAGAGATTATTGTATGTAATGTAAAATTTATCAATGAATATAAATTTATCAAAGAAATATACATAATATATGAGCAAACATAAGAAAAAAACTCATCAAATTTTCTCATAGTTCTAGCGTACATAGCAAATTAGTTTCATAATTAAATGGAATAATAAAAATCCTGAATAAATTGCATATCAAAACTTTCAATTGTTGTTCAATTGTTATAAAAGATATTATGTTTTTTTCACTAACTTGTATCAAATTCGGTGGCTAAAACAAAAACCACTCTAACAAAAAAAAAAAAAGAATATATAAGTTGTATAAAAATTTTATGAAAAAATTATTTTTTTAATTTTTTTTTTTTTTAATATCTTAATAATCTAGCTAATTTAAATCAAACCTAATGTTTCATTACAATTTTGTTTCCTCTTTTTTTTTTTCTTTTTTCATTAGATAAGTTTAGCTTTATGCCGGAATTATTGAAACGCTTTATAAGTTGAAAGATGTTAACTGCCAAGGTCAGTTTCTAAAAAAATTATTTTAAACGTGGGCGAACCGTACGCTTTGTTCTTCAAGCCTTCCCAAGAAGGCTTGAGTATTGACATTATGCTTAAGAGTTATAAAAGAACTACACCATATATATATATATGTGTGTGTGTGTGTGTGTGTGTGTGTGTGTGTGTGTGTGTGTGTGTGTGTGTGTGTGTGTGTGTGTGTGTGTGTGTGTGTGTGTGTATAGGGCTTGAATCAAGAGTATTTTTTTTATTTAGTTTTTAGTTTTTTCTTAAAAAAAATATTTTTGCAATTTTTTTTTTTTTTTTTAATAGTTTAGTTTCTTTTTTTTTGGCTGTTACCTAAAAGTAATGTTTTTGTCTAAGTTTTTGTTTAAGTTGTTTGGGGTCATAAAATACGTCATGCATAAAGTATGATTAATTTATCTTTTGAATAAAGTATGATCATTAGCTCTTTTGTGCGGAGATTTTTGTTCAAAACAAAGCGCTTTTAAATTTAAGTTACTTTAATTATCTGCGTGGAAGCCAAAAATATTTATAAAAATAAAGTTATATTTAGTTTGATTTACTTAATGGATAAAGTACATCACAGTTAATTTATGTATAAACTAAATCAATACAACCAGTTAATTTACTATAGTAACTTACAGTTACTTAACTATTAAATTTACTTTATATTCTCGAAGACAAATATTCTCAAAGACAAATTTTATCAAAATACAAATGTTTCTAATTATATCTTATATATTGTTAACACATAAATAAGCTTCTAAGAATTATTTTAACAAGATATCTCTAATAGAATATGAAAAATGCGATACCATTTTTTATATTTACATTTTATTTAAAGCAATATCAGGATTAAACATTTTCTATAAATACACAAGTTGTTTTAAGGAAAAATTTTTTTAAAAAGAAATCTATTTCAACAAAAGAACTTTATTCTTCTAAAATTCTCTTATTCAAATAATTTTGTTATAGAAATTTAAAATAAATAAAAAATTGCAAAAATTTTAAAAAGATAAAAAGAATTTTAACGCTCAATAATTAAAATTTTAATTGTAGCAGCGTCCGTAATACCCAGTGGCATAGTGAGGATCATTTCTGAAATTTAAGCATATATCTAGTTACAGTAACTGTTACTGTTACTGTAACTAGATATATGCTTAATTTTCTAACTAAAATTTTTTTAGTTAGAAATTTAAGCATATATCTAGTGTAAATTTTAGTGTATTGCAACTAACTAAAATTTTCTAAAGAATAATTTAAGCATATTTTTAAACTTAAACTTCAGGAAATGTAATTTGATTTATTAGACAATATTTTGTTCTTTAACTTTTTATGGCAAAACAATTTGAATAAAAAAATTAATGCTTAAATTTTTAATAGTACGCTAGATCAAGAAACAATAAATTATAAAAAAACGTGGTTTTTATGTTTTTTCTAAACTAATCTAATGTTTTCTGATCTAATCTAATGTTTTTTTTTGCTTTGATCTTACTTGTTTGGTCTATAAATTATAAACTTGTATGGTCTATAGGGATGTTTTGCGCAAAAAGTTTTATGACAATGTTTTATTTTATTAATTTAAATTAAATTGTACAACTATTTAAACCACTTTAAATAGTTATTAACTATTTAAAGTGGCTTAAAATGTTGTAATATTTGTGTTTTTAATTTTGCTTTTACTTTTTTAAGAATCTTGTTAAGTTAAAACAATTACTAAAAGTAATATCGTAGTTGTATTAAATATATTACTTGTTCATTACACTATAGCTGCAACTTAAACTTAAAATTATAACTTAAGCTATAAATTATAACAGTAAACTAAGCTATTTTAAACTCTTCCTTTCATATAGTCAGTATGTTTTTAAAGGTACAATAAAGAAACTTCCTTTTTTTAGGACTAAAAAACGCTGCTGCATGCATCAGGGTTGCCATCTGGTGTTTTTTTAAGCCAGATTTCTCAAATCTGGTTTGTTTTTTTATTGTTTGGCTCGGAATTTTTGTTTTGGTTTATTTTAGAAAATCTAGTTTATTTTAAAGTCTTTGGTCTTTTTTTGTTTGTTCTGGTATGTTTTTCAAAATCTGGTTTAATTCTGGTTTAATAATTTTTTCATTTTATAGAAGAACAATCAAGTTTAAGATAAATGAAAGAAATGCTTACGTTTAAATCTTAAAACGTTAAAAACTTTTACTTGTAATGTCATTCAAATGTTGTTTTTATCCCTTAATTGCCAAAAATGTTAGAAAATTCTTACATTCAAAATGACATTTTTTTAAAAAAATCTGCCTGTATTGAATGTTGTTTCCCAAGCTGAAAAGGCGTTTCAAGTCTACAGTTATATCTTATGGATGCAAAAGGTGGAGAAATTGAAAATCATTACAGAAATTGTCATTAATCATAAATTAGTTAATATTGCATCATTAGAGCGAGTCTAAAAACTTTTAAGAAAAATGAGTTTCTAAAAACACCGCTGAATTCTAAACTGCATCGTGAGACCATTTAGATGTTTCCGGAGACCTAGACCTCTGCAATATAGATATTTACTGCCACGACTGTCTATGTGTCCCGTTTCTAACTATTTTGTTGAGTCTTCTCACAGGTCATCTGCATAAAAATCAGACTAAGAAAATATCAAATTAAGTTTTGCATGCAGTCATTTGGGTCAAATCATATTTAATAAGGCAAAATATTTTTTACCAGGACTTTGAAATAATTGAGTCAATTATCGCAGATGTTGGAAAAGAAATATATATCCATATGCAAGCAAAAAAATATATATATTTATTTTACAGGTTGATAGTGTTGGATTTAGTATAGGTGTTTGGGAGTGAACTAATTTACCTTGGCCACTTTAAAGGCTGGTCTGGCACCCAATTAAACATTCACTATGTCGTTCTTCTCTTCCCTCACTCTCTTACAAATTAAATTTTAATATTCAAGGATGAATTTTTGGATAAAATAGCAGTTTTTTCAAAATATAAATTATAAAACAAGGCTTTAAAACAAAAAATTATGATTTTTTTCTTTTTTTATGGTCTGGTTTATTTCTGGTTTATTTTTGTTTCATTTTTGGCTTGTACCTGAAAAAAAACCTGGCAACCCTGGCATGCATCATTAATGTTTAACTATTTTTGTCATAGTTCAAATAAAAATATTTATAGTTCATTTTTATCAATAAGCCATGCATAATTTTAAACTAATAAACTTTTTTTTATTATTAAGTTTATTAAAAGTTTATATATATATTTTTAAAATAAATTTTTTTTATCTATATTTTTAAAATCCATGTATTTTTAAAATATATTTTTTTTAAATATATTTTTAAAAGTTTATACATATATTTTTAGTTATTCATTAAAAGTTTATAATACAAAATTGTGTGTAATTACTTTTTTTTAAAAAGTTTTAAAAATAATTACAACATAAAGTTGTTGCAGAAAATCTTCTAAAGAAATGGTTTTATTCATAATCACTCTCTTGTTAGTTAATAATTATAAACAAATATTGTTCTTGTTCTGGACAAGTTTTTCAGTACCTCTAGACAACTGTAATGTTACATTACTGTGCATTTAAATGATTATATAATTTTTTAACACAAAGAAATGTTGTTTTTTTTTTTGTTGTTGTTGTTTTTTTTAAGTGTAATTTTTTTAGTTTTATGAAAAGAGTCATTTTAATTGTTTAACGTTTTTATATACATTTGCTAATCTTCTAGGTGTTTCTGGGAAAAGTCAAGCTCTTTTTGCTTTGGTTTTTTTAACTCGATACCTTGATCTTTTTACCACCTTTGTCTCAGTGTATAATACATTTATGAAAATTGTGTTCCTGGTGGCAACATTTGCAACCTGCTATCTGATTTTATTTAAATTTAAAGCAACATATGACTCTAATCATGATAGCTTTCGTGCTGAGTTCCTTGTTGTTCCTCTTGCTGGTCTAGCTGTTCTTGTGAACCACGAGTTGACAGTGTTTGAGGTATACAATTTTTAGAAAATATATATGCAAACTATTAAATTTTTGTTGTTTTGTTTATTAAAAAAGTAATGTTTTTAATAATTAAAAATATTTATTTTTATTAAATTAAATAAACTTATTTTGATTTTCTAATATATATATATATATATATATATATATATATATATATATATATATATATATATATATATATATATATATATATATATATATATATATATATATATATATAAAATTTATAAAAGCCTTCTCAGAAGGTTCGTGTGGTCACATGCCTTATATGATTTTAAAAATTAAAAATTTATGTAGATAGTTTATATATTATAAAGATTTATTAAAATAAAAATTTAATATATAATGAATACTTGCAGTAAAACGTACTGGTTTAAACTAAATATAAACTAGATAATAAAAGAATAATTTTACTAAAGCGTATAAATTAATTTAAAGTATACATTAAATAAAAAACGAGTGAGTTGAATAAAACATACTGAACTAAGTAGAAAATAAATATTAAACAAATTATTTTACTAATAACCGTACAAATCAAACTAAATTAAAGTTAAAACAAGTATTTCTACTAAAATATACAAAAATTATATAAATTGTTATGAATTAAACACGCGTGGAATAAATTATCAAGTCTGCAGATTGCAGCTAACATTATACAAACTCCGTCTCGACTAACACATGAATTTTAAAATTAATAGTGTGTATTCATTATTTAGTTTTTATCAAAAAAATTTAGCCCAAACATTTTTTTAAACATTGTCTTTCATATGAACACAACTTGACTTGGCAGTTGGGGATCCCAACTGCCAAGACAAAGTTGTGTTTTTTTAATCAAAATTTAAAGTTATCACATCAAAATTTATTTAAAAAGGTGATTTCAAAGCAAGAATATTTTTAAAAACAAAAGAAGAAAAAAAAAAGAGACTAATTATTGCTTTTAAATGTTTAGCATGAGCACAAATACAATTTTTAATGTTTTTTCAATATTAAATTATTTATTATAACCTTTTTTGATTTATTTAAAATAGTGACAAGCACTATTTTTGGAACAAAAGTGAAACACTTAAAGAATTTACAAGTTTTACAAGTTTTCAGACAAATTTTTATTTTAAATAAAACTTTATTATTATAATATATTATTATATAGTATATTATTTATAATATCATTAAAGTATTTATAAATCCTGGATCATGTAAAGTTCAGTTAACATTATAAAAATATTTTTCAACACAAAATATTGTTTTAGCAGTTAATCGTTGGGCGATAAAAATTATCCATTAATTTTTCAACTATCTCTAAAAGCTATTATTTTTTTACTTTATTACATTTTTAAGCTCTAATATCAATTTAAAATCAATGTAATACTACTTAGTTTACTCTAAATTATATGTGGTTATAAAATGTAGCGTTTATATATTAATGGACCTTCAAATCAGGCATATATGGTAAAATCCTGCAAAAGTAGGCCTTTTTTGAGAAATCGTGCATAGACATTTTGGAGCCACCATGCACTAGTCATAGGGGTACAACCCTTTTAGTTGTATAAAACCCTTTTTTTTAATTTCACATTGATCATTAGTAATTATGTTACCTTTAAAAGAAATCTTCAAATTAAATGATAAATTAATTTACAGTTAGTGTTGCATTATTAAAAAGTAAACCTATAAAGATACAGTAAAAGATTAGAAATTTAGAAAGATCTTTTTAATGAGACTTTTTAATTTAGCAGCTACAAACAATGGTGGGAGGGAAATAAACAAGCTCAGTTAATTGAAATTTAGAGCCTAATGTTTAAACAAATATTTTTTGTGACTGTTTACTAACAATAAAAAGTGTATTTAGAAAAAAAAGTAAACTAAATAGAGAAAGTAAAAATATCACTGTTATTATCCAACAAAATCAAAAAATCTCAACAACAACAAATAAGATTTCAACAACAACAAAAAAAAGATGATTATAAACTTGAGTTAGTCAATGTTATTACAGTGGTGTGACTTTAAACTGGAAACACTTTCGAAATATGATTACTTTTTAATTAAACAGTAGATAGTGATGCTATTTCATTAAATTAAACAAAAATTTTTTTTTTTATTAACAATTTTGTTGTGAAAGCTAAAAAATCAATCATTACAATAAAATAAATTCAAAATAATTTTTTTTTTGATTTTTTCTTATTAGCATATAGCTCTTAAATCTAACATAATTGTCATTCAAACTTGTAATAAATATTTGTACATAATCGTCATTCAAAAATTAATGTGGTTTTTTTAAAAATTAGTTGCTTCTTTTATCTCTTATCTTACCACTTATAGGATAATTTAAAAGTTAAAAAAATGATTAAAAGTTGCCAAAATCGCTTACTGCTTATGAAAATCGCCTAAGGCATATATTAATCACTTTATGTGTAATATTTAGATAATAAAGCCCAGCATTATCACCTGGTGCATTCTAGAGAAGGTTTACAAGATCAAAAAATCTTTATGGATTTATTAAAAAGAACTGAACAAAAGTCATTTCAACAGATCAAAAACTATTCACCTAACTGATTGTGATTGAATATCCAAACATTTTTACATAAATATCAAAAGTGTTAAGAATACCCTATTATAATACAGGGTGGCCACACCTCCCAATAATTCCTAAAATATCCTAATATTTGAAAATCTCCTAAAAACCTAAATTCTCCAAAAATATACTTGAATTTCAATAATACTCCTAATCTACTAATTTAAACTTGCTATTTGAACTTTAAGTTTTCCTTTAAACTTTCAACTTTTAAATTTTTTATTAAAATTTTTGAATATTTAAATTTCATTAAAAAAAATTTGAAAACCCTCCTAATGAATCTCAATTTTTTTAATTTGTTTTTCCAAGTTTTCCCGTAAAATCTCAATTTCTTCTAATTTTTAATCTCAAAAAAAGTGTGGCCACCCTGTTATAATAATAACTATTTATTGTTGAAATTTAGAAAAATAACGATTAAATAATTTATGACAAATATTTTAATGTATATGATGTCAAACAAGATAAGCAATATTAGCCGATTACTTCGGCTAATATTGTTCACTTTTAATATATTTGTCTAATCAGTTTTTGAATACTTTCACTGATGTATGGAGGATTCACTGATATATGGAGGAAGATGATTCCATACAGTGACTATTCTATTAAGAATAAAATTCTCTCTTAATGTACAACATTCTTTTATTAATGCTTTTTTTGAATCGAATGGAATATCTTCTGTATGCAGATTCTAATAACTCTTCAAGTTTTGTGAGGTTGTATTAAATGGGAATGTTGTGAATGTGGACAATTTTGGAGCACTTTGTTAAATTTGCTCTTAACCTACAAGTTTCTAACGATGTAATATTGAACTTTTTCAATAGTGATTCATAACTTAGATGTAAGAGGCCTTTTTTTTGAGTTGCTCTTTTTTTAATTTTTTCAAAAGCTGATATATTGTATTTCTTTGATGGGTTTTAGATTGATGCTGCTTATTTGAGAAGTGGCTGAACAAAGGTTTTATATGACATTTTAGCAGTTACGATGGTGTTGAATTCAAAAGTGTGTTTAATTAAACCTAGCATTCTAATGGCTCTGTTGGAACAGTAATTGATATATAAGCTGTATTTTCCATCAGTAGATGTATGAATAGTCATAGCACCTTTTTCTAAATCAGAGAATTCTTTTTGAATTGTATGATATGATCCTCGTCTAAGATTGTATATTCTCTTTTTTTATTATAGTTATCAAAATGCATTATTTTACATTTACTTACATTGTGTTTCATCTTCCATACATCATTTGTCTATTTTATCTATATCATTTTATAATTTTAATGTCACTTTAGTCTATTTTTCGTCCCGCTCAGCGAGCTGGATGAAATTGACAAAGAAGAACTGAAAAAGTTGACAAGCAAGGTCATTTATGAGTATTGTGAATAAAAGCTATCCAAGTACTGATCCTTTATTACACCACTTAAATTGGACTCCAATCAGACTTGTTTTCACCAAGTAGTTTTCGTTGTTGTCTGTTACTTAAGAATGATTTTATCTATGCAGCAAATTTATTATTAAAACCTTACGATTTTGGATGAAAAGTTCATGTGATACAGTGTTGAATTTACTTTCAGTAAATAGAATAAATATTTGTAAACAAAATTTAAAAAAAAAAATTTTTCAAAAAGCTATCATGGTATGATATCAGGCCATGTTAAGAGGTTTTATTACATAAGGAAAACAATGTTAATAAATGTAATTTTAACAGCTTTGGTACTTAAATTTATTTTTAAACTGCATTAAAAATTATTTAAACTAAAGTAACCAAAATTACTGATCAAATCTAAATTCAATGTTAAAAAATAATATTTCCATATAATTTATTTCTTAAAACAATCTAATTTCTTAACATAATCTTTTGTTTCTTTATAAAAACTTATACTCAACCTAATCTTTAGTTTCTTTATAACAACTTTTTTTTTTTTTTTAAATTAATTTTTTATGTATTTTATGTAATTTTTAACTGATTATAAACAATTATAGAGGTTTTAGTTACCAATAAGATATTCATAAACAAAATTTATGTTTATAAATAAATTGTGTCAAAAGAACTCAATAGGATATTGAATCAACAAGAAACAAAAAATTTTAATTACTTTTGTGAAAACAGTTCTTTTGAATAAAACACTTTTCTTTTAAAAGAACAAAAAGAACTTTTTAATTTAATTTCACATATTTTAACCTATGATAAAGAGATTTATGTTTTATGTATTGAATTAGTTGTAATATGTTTTATGTTATGAGCAAGAAATAAATTTATTCCTTCAAAACTAAATTAAATTTTTATTAAAAAAATATAAAACTGCTGAGCGCATACGCAAATCACCATTTCATATGTAAAATGTGAGTTGTGTATCACTTTTTAACAAGGCCTGTGTTGAGTTTATGCAAAACGTAAAATGTGAGCTGTGTAGCACTTCTTAACAATGCCTGTGTTGTGGAATTTATGCAAAAAGGATTTGTCAATATAAGTATATTGTCAATGCAGGTGTTAAAATTAGTTCAATTGATTGATTCAATTGATTCAATTATTTTAATAGGGTGTTTTTATTTATTAAAAAAAAACTTTTATTCCAAAAAATGACTTTTATTTTTATAAAGATTTTGCACTTAGTCACTCTTTGAAAATGACCATTTTTAACTGACCAAAAATCAAATTTAACAGTCCTGAAATGTGGACACCAAACTCACTAGAAAATGCACCTAGGAAGTTTTTTATATGGGGTTATATTTTGAATCAATTAAAAAAACAAAAAGTAAAAAATATTACTGGCCTTACTTGGCATATAAAAGATATAAAGGAGAACATTCCTTAAGAATTTTTAAATAAGGCATTAATGTCTTAATGTTGTAAACTTATCTATGAAAATAAGGATTATCTAACTGAACATTAAAGAAAAGAAAAAATATAAAATGTATCAAATTATAATAACATTGAAATTAGAATAAAAATAATATTTACTTTTAATTATTTTAGTTTTTTTTATAATACATATTTAATTTGATATAATGCATTGTGTGCTTTCACTAATCTAACATGGCTAAGTTCCAGACTAGATTTTGGCCAGTGCAGGGTTTTATAAAAAAGGCTAAGACGAGGTTTATTCAATTATTTCAAAATTTAAAATTGTTACATTAGAATAATAAAATTTATAATTTTAACATATTTAAATGATTTACACAAAAAAAGAGAGAAAAAAGTTCAAGAAAAATTAAAATAGTTTTATTTATTTTACAACTCAACTTAGATTTTTAAAAAAGAATATAAAAATGCTGAAGTTTTTAGTTTTTTTTTTTTTTTTTTATTATAAAATTTTGAGATTTTGTTTGAAATTTCAAGTTTTAATTATTGCCATTATTCCTCATATTTGTAAATATAAAAATTTCTGTGAAAACATTTTCTGTATTCACTTTTATAGTGGTTAGTACTTACAAAGCATAACAAAAAGGATCATTTAGCCTCAACTATAGTGAATCCTACTAATCTTTTATAACAGTTAGTACTTACAAAGCAAAAAAAAAATCATTTTGTCTCAACTATAGTGAATTCTACTAATATTAAACAAAGCTTGATAAAAAGACTGTTCCCAGGACCCTAAACAGTCACTATATTATAGACATGTAAATAATTGAAAAAAAAAGTGAAACCTGCAATCAGTTAATCTTTTTTTAGAATTGTATTTTATCTATGATCTCTTACTTTAGTTAATGACACTGTTGGAGACTTTCCAAAAGTCTCGAGAGTCTAACATCTGAAACAAGATTTAGTAAACTAAAAAAAAACATTGAGCTTAACATTGGACCGGACCTTTTTACATTGGCTACTTGCAATATAAAAGGATATTTGTTCTTAAGAGAGATGTTCTTGGAAGAAAGATAAAAAAAATGATCATGGTTTAATAAAGCTCAACTCTAAAAAAGATAACTGCTCAAGATGGCAAAAAACGTTGAATGAGGCTTGGCTTAAATGTGAAGATAAGAAATAAAAACTTCCGAGATGCATTTATACATACATAATATGGATATAAACAAATATGCTATTTATTTAGATGCTGGCATACAATATCCTTTTATATTTATATAAACTAAAGTATTTTTATGGTATAGTATTTTCCGAAAGAAAAGATGATCAGATGGATGTGTGGTGTGATGCTAACAAGACCATTAAAGGAGGCATAATCTTAGACAGATTAGAAAAAACATTGTATCAAACAACATTTGTTAGAGAAAACCGTTGACAGAAGACTTAAAAATTTAAAGGTTGTATGAGTCAGGAAAACGGAAGATAAAAGATAGAAGAAAGTTCTAAAGGGTTGAAGTGCGAGGAAAAAGCTAGACAAATAAAAAATTTTGGAGAATGCAGGGACAAACACAGTAAAAGAATGAGACTTTGATTAATGACGAGTCAAGCGAGAATGAGTTTTGGTAGATGGATCTTGAGATAAAAGCTCCTTTGAGCAGCAGCCATGAAAGTACTTTAGATAAAAGAGAAAAGATGCAACTTTTTAACGATGGGAAAGAGGGTCCAGCTTAGCAGTTATACCAGGTACAACTACATTTACAATGCGATTTTTGGACCTTGTCTAGAAGAAAAAGAGCATCATTAGAAGAACCAGCCCAAATATGATAACAATATTCCATACAGGGACGAATAAAAAATTTGTAGAGCTAGAGAATGGAGTCAGGAGAGAAAAAATGGAGAGCATGATAAAGAATTATCTATATGTGGTCAAGTATAGTCTATTATATTTCTATATATATATCATTTTTTTCTATATATATATATATAATTTTCTACTATATTTCTATATATATATATATATATATATATATATATATATATATATATATATATATATATATATATATATATATATATATATATATATATATATATATATATATATATATATATATATATATATATATATAATTTCAATTCACTTCCCCAAAGCCATGAAGGCCGCTCCAGTCGAGGAGGCTACTTTAATTATGGTTACAAACCTCTCTCAACTTTATATATATATATATATATATATATATATATATATATATATATATATATATATATATATTATATATATATATATTATATATATATATTATATATATATATATATATATATTATATATATATATATATTATATATATATATATATATATATATATATATATATATATAGAATTTCAATTCACTTCCCCAAAGCCATGAAGGCCGCTCCAGTCGAAGAGGCTACTTTAATTATGGTTACAAACCTCTCTCAACTTTATAACTCTGAAACAAAAACCTTGGCAAACAAGGCAGCTGCGCAGAGAAACAAGTTGAGTGTGTTACTACCAGAGATATAGTGGCAATCGAACATCACAAAATAAAATTATTCTAAAAAAATACTTATCTAAAATAATTCAAGTATTAAAATATCATATGACTGTAGTTTAGATATCTAAATTACTAATAAATGAATAAAGAATTCTAAGTAAACTGCTTATAATAGTACCATTTTCTTTTTAAAATTTAAATTAAAAGCATTCCTCTAAAATTGTATTTATTTTTTTGAAAGTTTTCTTTTCAAAGTAAAAAAAACTAAAAAATGTTTTTCTAATATATTTTAAAATAATTTGGCTCTGATTTGGGTCCAAGTAATTGTTTACCAGTACTGATTCCATGAAAAAGATTACATGATTTAGAGATGTATGGCTTTATATTTTCAAAATTTTAACAATTAGTTAATTCATCGACATCGGTATCGGCCTTTTCCCGTTTAATGGTGTCGGCATCGGCCAAAAAAGTGCTATCGGTACATCACTAATATATGTGCAAAATATAACATGAATTTTGAATTAAAAAATATATACTTTAAGATGTATAAATGTTTATGCAGCCCCAGTCACAAACCTGGCCCCTGCTATATTTTATCAAACCTGACCCCGTTTGAATTTCAACTTTTTTTTTTTTTTTTTTTTTTTTTTTTTTTTTTTTTTTTTTTTTTTTTGTATTTCATCATATTACTATTGCATAATACAAGTTAAGCAGTAAAATATAGGTTGATTCACAAAAAAAAACATAACACTTTTAAAAGTAGCTAGTTCATGTTGTTTAATCATAAAGTTTACTCGATACTAAAACATAAAAATCTGTTTGCATTAATTTATAATATAATCCTTTTCCATATGAGTTTATTAAATTAATACCTTTTGTTAATATTATCCCTTTTCATATGAGTTAGTTAAATTAATTTGTATTTTTCAAGGTTTTATGGACATTTTCTATTTATTTGGAGTCAGTGGCAATTCTTCCTCAATTATTTATGATTTCAAAAACTGGCGAGGCTGAAAGTATCACAAGTCATTATTTGTTTGCGTTAGGATCTTATCGTGCATTGTATTTGCTTAATTGGATTTACAGATATTATTTTGAAGGATTTTTTGATCTTATTGCCATTGTTTCTGGATGTGTGCAAACTGTCCTTTATTGTGATTTCTTTTATCTATACATTACTAAAGGTAAGTCTATTTTTATTATGATTAAGTCTTCTAAATGAGTTTATTGTTAATATGATAAGTCCGTAAGTATGTTTAAGTCTTTATAAGTAAGTCTGTTGTTATTTAAGTCTCCTAAGTAAGTCTGTTGTTCAATAAATCTTCTTAGTAAGTCTGTCGTTTCTATGATAAGTCTATACTTATTTGTGCAGCCTTTTAACTATTGATTTTAGAAATATGAACGATCAAATTGTTTTATAATTTTAATGAATTTGTATTTTTTGAAATATATTTAGGTAATTTTTGCGTGTTTTTTAAATATAAAGTTTTAAAACATTTTGCGTGTAATGTGAAAAAATAAATCAAAACATATAAAGAATGTTTTCATCAAAACAATAACGCAGGTCAACAAAAAAAAAAAAAAAATTCTAGTGCCGAGCAAACAATTTATTTTTTGTTTAGCTTTTCTCATTTTGATTTCAAATATGCAACTCGTTTTTTTACCACCACGTCAAGTTGTAAAGATATTTGGGTTCAAATCTTTAGTATTTGGGGTAAAGTCCCTAATATTCTCAAAAAAAAAGATATTCAAAAGTATTTCAACCTGGGTCTCAAAAGAAGCGTATTTTCATAGAGGTTTTAGAAAACGTCAATACTTTTTCTTAAAATATAATGACAAAAAAATTATGTAAAAAATGCTTCAGCAATAATACAAATAGTACTTATTTTTATTACAAACGAATAACATTTTTAAAATCTCTATGGAAATAGGCTTCTTTTGAGATCCAGGTTGATAGGTTGATTTGAACCCAAATATCTTTACATGACATGATGGTGTAAATTGAGTTGCATATTTGAAATCAAAATGAGAAATGCTATACAAATAACAAATTGTTTGCTTGGCACCAGAAAAAAAAAATTTTTTGTTGATCTGCGTAATGAATGCAAGAAAAATCTCCATAACACATTGTGCAATTCACTAAATCTTTATAACACATTAATGCAATTTGCTGCACAATATAATTTTATATAAATAATAAATTCTAGTTTGCAATATAAAAAATCATATTCATATTAGGTTTTAGTTATTAGATTTTATATAGTTATTTATGTTGCTTTTACCGTTTAAAAGTAGCAAAATAATGATTTTAAACCATGACCTAATATATTTATACAGCTGGATATTAGGTTTTAAAGGTATAGATAAAAGTCCAATTTTCGCATAGGTTTTTTGCAGTTTTTGACAAAGAAGCTGTGAAAATTCAAAAAGTATGATTAACAAATATTGTATTGGGAGTTTTTGTACTAATTATATAGTTCAATTAATTACTCTCATTTCAGAACATAGAAAAGTTAAAAAACTTTTATATATATAAAAGATAATAAGTTTCTGTTTATGGAACAAGAGATAATAGCTTGTTTGAGCACCAACCATTAATTATTTGTAGAAAAAAGTTTGAAATGTTAATAGAAAAGATACCCACTAGTTCTTCAGTTTGACTGAATTACTTGTCAATAAGTTCCACAAGTTTGACTGAATTACTTGTCAATAACTTGTGAAGTTATAATTAAGATTCACAATAACTTTAAAATCTTAAAGAAAATCATCAACCGAAAGTGTTGATGTCAGCAAAGTTTATTTTTTCAGACAACTTTCATTTATTGGTTTGATTAATTACTTATATAAAATAATTTAAGTAAAAGTGTAATAAAATAAATTAAGTAAAATAATCATTTGAAACTAAAAGGAAAGATATCTAAAGACATTTCAAGCAAATTCAGAATAATTCAATCATGGTATCAGGATTAAAAAACTTATTGTTTGGAAGTCAGCCTTTCAAGATGTTAAAGAAATATGGTTGCAAATATAAGAAGTAGAAAAATCCTTGAAAGATCCAGAAGCAATTCACCAAAGACCAATGCAGTTAAAAACTTTCATGATAAAAGTTTCAAGGAAATCAAAAGTGCATTATAATAGATGATGAAACATTCTGAAAATTTGACTGTTAAATGCTCTCAGGCAACCAGTTTATGCAATCCTTCAAGGTACGACAATATAAACTAAAGAATTCGAACGTTATATATGGAAACACGAACTTAAGTTTACGTAAAAAAATGTTTGAAAAACCAATTTATGCATATGGATCCGAAAGCGCTTTAACAAGGCAATATTATAATCAGCTCGAAGATGTTGTTTTGTAAAAGCTTTACTGCATTTTTGAGATGATTTATCTCCAAAGCAATCAAAAAAATTACATAGATCGTTATCATTCTGGTCAATCTTTTGGTCTCTAAACTTAATTACAGGCATTTAAGATTTATATAATTGTTTTTTTTTTTTTTTGTTTTTTTTGTTTTTTTTGTTTTTTTTTGTTTTTTTTGAATTAGACTTAGAGCATCATAACCCATAATAAAATAAAAAAAATAATAATAAAATTCTTTAAAATTTTAGATCTTAAGAGTAATATGTAGCTGTAAAATTTACATTTTTGTTTGTTTTATTTTTAGTTTTGAAGGGTAAATCATTAAAGTTGCCAGCCTGAACAAGTATTTGATATTAAATTTCTTGAGAAAAGAAATACGACGAAATCTATTTTATTTAATAATAATATTTTGTTTACCATAAATTTATTTTTCAAGCTTTTATGTTTACACTTTAGTTTGTTGAGAAGTATTTGTATTTTTGTGGTTCTAAAATGATAATTTTGTTTTGGCATTCTCCGTTTTTACTAATAATACTGTTTTCAATGCTAAATGATTTTTTCTATACTTGATAAAAATTTACATTGTACTTAAAAACTCAATTAAAATATTTAAGCGCCATTATTTGGTTAATCTTTCATGTATTTGAGTTGGATAAAATATTGAAAGGTTTTTGTTGTATTTAAACAAGTTTTCTTTATGTCGTGTTATGTAATTTTATCACAACATTATACGTGTTTTTTACCTCTCCTTAAAACTTAATTTGAAACTCTTTAATTATGACTTTTCTTGTTGGGTTTTTTTTGTTACCAAAAAAGTATTTTGTAGAGTGAGCTACGTGACTCGTTGCTATTATAAAAGGGAAAAAATCTAAATAAAGATTTTTTAAAATCTTTATTTAGATTTTTTCGATACAATTTTAGGCGAACGTTTTATTGCATATAAAACTTAAAAATATAACTAACATTTGTTGAAGTAATGTATTTCCTGTTGTTAATCATAAATCAACACTAACTCTAAAAACAAAACATAGATACTATTGAAATCTTAAATAATTTTAATAAAGTTTTATACAAAAAAAAAGCCTAAATAAAAAATTTATTACCAAAAATATCAGATACCTTTTTTATAAGTTTGTAAATAAACATATTATATATGACTATATGATATTATATAATAACACAACGAAAATTGACTTACTATAGCAAGTGAAAAATACAAAAAATTCATGATTATTCAAACATTCAGTTTTTGCAATATTTAGTATCAAAACTACATTTTCAACTTTATATTGCACTTGAGTAGCATTTTATGATTGTATATTTAATTTATTTACACCAAACCATATAAATTAATTTGAAAAATTTTTAACATTTGTCTATCACATTAAAAATATGGCATCAGTTTGATAAAAAATTTTACTTTTAAATTAAGTCTATATTAAAATGTCAACATTGACATACTCTCAAACTTATTAATGGCTATGAAATTTAGAACATTCAAGAAGGTTAATAGTGCCACGTTTTTTCTTTTTAGTAAATTTGTACGTTAAATAAATGTCTAAATATTGCTCTTAAAATATTTAAACTTTTCGAAATTGTGGAGTCTATTGTCATTTAAGTTAAACAATGTCCATTCTTGACAATTATTTTGCGAATTTTTTTAATCTGGTTGAAGTACAACATTGTCAAACAATGGCACAAAATACTATCTATGCAACAAAAAATATTAATTGTATAACAACCAAAGCATGAATACAAGTTATTAAAAATAAAATAATTTAGTTATTTTACCTATAGCTCTATTACCAGTGCCTTTCCAATCTTAATACACAATAGTAAATATGGACTAGTAATATCAAATAAAAAACTGCAGTTAGATAAAAGGTTTTTTCATTATAACAGATTACTTTTGATAAATGTATTAGGTTTTAATAACTTTGTTGATAAAGATTTAATTTTCACTTTTAATAATAATTAATTATTAAATTTTGGGAGAACTTTTACTTTTATATATAAACTCTTTTTTTTTTTCTAGTTTTTTTCTGCATTACCTTTATCTAGTCTAGTTTAATGGTTTATTTTTTTATCATAAAGATTATTAAATTTTGGGAGAACTTTTACTTTTATATATAAACTCTTTTTTTTTTCTAGTTTTTTTCTGCATTACCTTTATCTAGTCTAGTTTAATGGTTTATTTTTTTATCATAAAGAAAATAACAAAACTAAATTGTCATTATTTAGTCTATTACATTAGGATAACATATTTTGAAATTATTCTTTAAGAAACCTTTGAGATGATAGGAAATAGTAGGAGGAGTTTCTTGAAGATTTAGGTTGTTAGTAATATCTAGTTTCATTGTATATCATTTCTGTTTATATCTATCCGATAGATATATCTATTGGAAGGTTTTGGTTCGTGAATGATTAAAAAATCAACTAATAATAATTAATAACAAATTAAATATAAAACCATTTTATATAGTGTTAATATCTTTGTAATAATAGTTATTTCAACAAAAAACACCCAAATCTTGACTATCAAAGTCATTTACAAAATCTAAAACAACAAAAAACCTTTTATAATTAACTAAACAAAGCCGCCATTTCGTTCATTTATCCCCTATGAAAAAGTCATACATTAAAACCGCGCGCTGTGATACGCATTGTTAGCGGAGTTCCTCAGGGTAGTGTGTTAGGTCCCACATTGTTTTTATTATATGTTAAGGATTTAACCGCTATAACTTATAATCTGGACTGTTGTGTAAAACTTTACGCGTATGATATAAAGTTATATAGTTCGTACCGTGATATGGATCTAAGCCAAGATTTAGTTGTTACTTTAAATAGACTTGTGCAATGGGCAGTAACTTGGTAACTAATAATTGCTTATAGAAAGTGTTTTGCACTGAGAATAGCATCTCCCTCATTATGCAAAGGTATAAAGGTTATCTATAAATTAGGTGAATATTCTGTGGCTTGGTCTTCAAACCCAAAAGATCTTGGAGTAACAATGGACTGTAGCCTTATTTATAAAAAACATTTTTTTAACGTCATCCATCAAGCTAACTCTAGAGCATACTTAATTTTGAAATGTTTTAAACCACGTGACCCTTGTATCCTAGTTAGAGCTTTTCTAACTAGGATACAAGGGTCCAGAGCCTTCGAGAGGGGGGCAAATTGACCCGGGCGCCAAGCTTGAAGGGGCGCCGGACAACTCGTTGGTTTTTTTTTGTTTTTTTTTTACAATAAATAGAAAACATTTTAATGATTGACAATTTAAAATCTGCTTAGATTTTGTATTTGAGGTTGAAACTTTAGAATTCGGAATAAAAATGCACAAAACTTTAATTTTAAATTCTGTTATTATAATTAATTATAAACTATTTTTTATGAAAAAAAATAGGTTTTAGTTGTAGTTGTACACGAAACTGGGCGTATTCCGTAAGCCTATGAACAGTTAGCTATGCAAGCTCGTGCTTGATTGTACGGAAGATGATGCGCTGTGGTAGTAATAATAGTAGGTAATCAAATATCGGTTTGAAGTAGTTAACACTGATAACGCAGACACTTTGTTAGGTAGTACGCTCCACGGGTGAGCAACGCGGACGTTGAAGAAGTTGAAGTAAACGAGACATTTCACTATAAAAAGCGCTACTTTTTCCGGTCAGTTATCAAGTATTTGAGTTTTTGCATCAAGTTTAGAGTAGACAGAGTGCCTACTTTAAGCCCAATAAGAAAAAAATAGTTTTTTTCTCAAATCGTTGGTGGAAATGACGAAATTTCAATTCGATGCGTTGGTGAAACTTGCTGAAAAGAGGCTTCTGGTTAACGGTTAGGATAAGTGTTTATGATGATTAAATAAGTATTTAGTTAAACAAGTTGATTGATAAATAATGAGTTTTATTTTGTTTTATAGTTGATAATTAAAAGTTAAATAAGTTGGTTAATAATTTAAAAAAGATTTTGAATGTTTTATATATATTTTCTAGATATTGGTAGCGCGCTTGCCTCAGAAGCATGAGATTAGTGGTTCAGAGACATCTCTGAGCAAGTTTTGCGAGATTGGTTAGGAATAAGGTGTTCAGTAATAAAACCGTAAGGACTTTTTGAGACACTTTAAAAACATTAAAAAAAAATTAGAATTTTTGTTTTCAATTGTTATTTTTGCGGTTGCTAAGTTAGGAAAAAAAACAAGCAAATATTGTGTTTACAACGGAGTGTCCCTTAAGACTTGATGTAACGGTCTATCGTTGACGTATTTTATATTTTCTTTGTTGTTATAACTAACTTTTTTTGTTAAGGATCTCTCTTATAATGACCATAACTCCCAGTCAGTCTATGAGTGCCAAAAGGAACCAATTAATCTCCTCCTCTTTTAAGATCACCTGCTGCACTTAAACTGTGTAATTTGCAGGGCTGTGGATCAGTGGGGATCTCAAACGATTCACCTGAAGCTGAGCTAAATGAATTTCAAAGTGACTCATTAGAGTCAGAAGGAGGAACCTTATCCAACAGGGAAGAATGTAATGCTCAACCTGATTTGGTAACAATTAATGCTGACCCCTCTTTGTGGCCAGTTATTTTATGTCAAAAAGATCGAGATGTAATCATTTTAAAGGGACCCCCTACACATTCTTTGAAGCAACGAGACTATCCCCGTGATTCTAAGAAAAGAATTTTTCCTTTGAATGTGTTTTATCAATCTTTGCCTAATAAGGAAAAAGTAGAAAGAGACTTTTTGGTTTGGAGCTCGATCTCCAAGGCTCTCTACTGTTTTCCTTGCTCATCTTAGGCACGAAAGCAGCATTCAAATGCGGGGAATCGTCCCTTCTTCGTTGGAACGGAGGAGCTAAAGATCAGCGGAGGAAACTCATAGATCGTGTGAAGCAGCATCAATCCAGCTCATTGCACCAAACGTTCTACATGGATTGGAAAGACGCGTGCATTCGTCTTACCGGCTCCACTGTTATAGATTCAGAGCTCCAGAAGCGAATCAATTCTGAAACAGGTAAATGGAAGACAATTTTTCGTGGAATTTTGGATGTGACTCTTTTCTTAGCTTCTAGGAATTTAGCTTTTCTAGGTAACTTATTATAAGGTTCTTTCAATATCAATTTAATTATTTATATAATTATTTTAATAGTTATAACTATTATATACAATTATGTTCGCAGGTGAAAAAACACACGTGAATATGAAAGGAAATGGAAACTTTCTTGCTGGTATGGAGCTTATCGGTCGCCACAACCCCGTTATTGCATCTCACTTGGAGGATGTAAGACGCCATTAACAAGTGGGCTCCAGAATGAGTGCTCATTACCTGTCTCCATCGTCTGAAAATGAGTTCATCAAAGAATATGGTGGTGTTATCCGAAGTGCAGCTGTCCAAGAAATTCAGGACGGTATCTACTTCACCATTATAGTCGATGGTACCTCCGATACATCTCACACTGAGCAGATAACCTTTATTATTCGTTTTCTCCTTTATGAAAAAGAAACTAATTGCTGGCAAATCAAAGAACGATTTTTGTGTGTTGAAGCTTTTGAAAAAAAGAAAGGACTCGATATAGCTAAGCCTATCACTGATGTGATTGCAAGGCTAGGTTTAGATATTCAAAACTGTCGCGGTCAGGGATAAGATAATGGATCCAATATGTCAGGTGCTTACAAGGGAGCTCAAGCCTTAATAAGACAAAATTATTCGGAAGCTCTGTACGTTCCATGTAGCGCTCACAATCTGAATTTGGCTGGTGTGCACGCAGTTGAATCAGCCATTGAGATCAAAGTATTTTTTGGAAACGTCGAATCTTTGTACGCATTTTTTAGTGAAAGTCTTGCCCGATGGAAGATCCTCACTGAAGGGACAGGAATTTTACTGGATAAACTTTCTATGACAAGATGGAGTTCTCGTATTGACGCGATCAAACCACTTGCCAAAAGACCGAGAAAAATGTTGGCACCTCTTAAAAATGCTATGGAAAACCTGGATCTGACGAGTGAGCAGCTAAGCCAAGCAAAAGCCTTAAAAAAATGGTTATCATCTTTTGAATTTGTATTGCTAATTACGATTTGGTACAAAACCCTTACTGCTGTTAACGACGTTAGTCGTTATCTACAATCTGAAGCCATTACCATCGATGACGAGCTACGTTTGATTAGACAGCTGCTGGAAGATCTTAAACAGATTAGGGGCTCTTGGTTGCAAATTTTCCAAGAGGCTGTAGCTGTAGCTGGACCGCTAGGATTCGAAACTGAACTTGCTACTAAAAGAAAGCGCAAACTAAAGCGCTTTTATGATGAAGCATCAAACACAGCCTATTTCCACAACAGCCAAACGAAAGAATTCGAAGTGAACGTTTTTAATGTTGGTTTAGATAGTCTGATCCAGCAGATTGATTCAAGATTTGAGGCAAGCAGGATGGTTGCCAATATGTTTTCATTCATCTGGTTGGACAATGATGATCTTTCTGTTCAAAGTAAAGCTTGCGAGCTTGCACAATTTTATCCGAGAGATGTCAACAAAGAGGATCTCATTGAAAAAATTTGCCGTTTTAAAAATGCCCGCAAAACAATTTTCAAGCAAGGAAATCCACTGCAACTACTTAACCAAATTTTCGAGAAGAAGCTTGAACGTCTTTTTCCGTACATTTGCATCATGCTCCCGATTTTCAGCACTATTCCTGTGTCAGTTGCTGAGGGTGAACTATCATTTAGTAAACTTAAGATTGTAAAAAACTCTCTCCGTTCAACCATGGGCCAGGATCGCGTAACTGATCTTTTGATTATTTTAATTGAAGAAGATTTGGCTAAGAAGGTGAGCTACGGCGATGTCATCGATATTTGGGCGGCCAGAAAAGCTCGAAAAATTCATTTTTAACGCTTTATTTACCTTAAGTTTGAAATAGGGGCGCTGCTCTCCATTTTTGACCCGGGCGTCTCTCGAAGGCCCTGCAAGGGTCGCTTGGAGGCTCGCTTGCAGGCTCGCTTGCAGGCTTGCTTGCAGGCTTGCTTTCAGGCTCGCTTGCAGGCTCGCTTGCAGGCTCGCTTGCAGGCTCGCTTGCAGGCTCGCTTGCAGGCTCGCTTGCAGGCTCGCCTGCAAGGGTCGCTTGCAAGGGTCGCTTGCCGCTCTCGAAGGCCCTGCAAGGGTCACGACCAATTTTAGAATATTGTTCTCCAGTTTGGTCGCCACACCAAATTGGATTGATTAAATCAGTTGAAAGTGTCCAAAGAAAATTTACAAAAAAAATAAGGAGCCTTAGAAATCTTGCCTATCATAATAGATTACAGTTGCTTGGTATCAAATCACTCAAAGTTCGGCGCCTTGAAAACGACTTAGTAACTTGCTTTAAAATTTTTCGTAAACTTGTCTGTATTGATCAATCTGGGTGTGGCTATTATTGTCAATCGCTTTTTGCGATTGACAATAATAGCCACACCCAGGGTCATTGTTATAAAATAAGAAAACAATTTTGTCGCTTGGATTTAAGAAAATATAGCTTTTCTTACCGAGTTGTTGACATGTGGAACAATATGACCTCGGAGGCTGTAAATGCAAATAACATTTTAACGTTCAATAATAAAATTAAATCTTTCGACTTTAACAAATATCGATTGTAAAAGGAACAACTATTTGTTTCTTTATTTTTTTTTTTTTTTTTTTTTTTTTTTTATTTGTAGCGATATTTATAAATTTCTTTGGGTACGTTGTTAGTGTCCATCTTTGTATGGGCCTTCGTGTCCTTTAGAACATGTATTTATACTTTGTTCTAATAAATATCAATCAATCAATCAATAATATATTAGTATACTATAAGAAATATATTAACTAAATTACTTATAAAATATGTAAAATCTTACATTTAATAAATGTATGATTTTAACTTTTTTCATAAGTATGTAAAACTTACATATTATTTATAAATACAAAATTGAACAAAATTACAACATAAACAAAATTAAATGATTTATGTAAATATAAATAATATGTACAGTTTATATACGGCAGTGTTACATAGTAAAACTTTGCTATGTTTTGTAAAAAAAACTTGTCAAGGTCACAAAATATACAAAGTACAAAATATAGCAAAGGTTTCTAAAAAAAAGTTAAAGTTACCATAACTGAGATATGGTAACGTTTACTTTTTTTTAAACTTGTAAAATATTTTATCAAACTGAAATCATATTCTGTAATTATGCAATAGACAAATGTTGAAAATTTTTTTAAATAGTTTGTAATGTAAACTATTTAAAAAAACTTTATTTATGAGATATGATATCTCAAACTATATTAATAGCTCAGAAATTCAGTCTGAATTTCAGTCTAAAATTTAATTTCTCAAATTCCTTAAATGCAAGGCATTAAGAAATTTGAGAGTATGTCATATTTTCTTCTTTTTATGTGTGAAATCGTTTTTTAAATGGATAACTAAATATCGATTTTAACATATTTAGACTTTTAGTATAGAATTAAAACTGATATGTAAATATTTTTTTACAAAAATACAATAAAAAAACCAAATGAAGTTCCTGTGTATATTTACTTCTAATATCCAATCTAAGTCAAATCGCGTTACTGCATATGACATTTTAAAAGAGTTTTGTAATTTTATTTCAACAATATTTTTTAATAAAAACGATGCCAAAAAAACTACTTTGCACGCATCCCATCTTTAAACCAGCCGTAAACCATTTACGTAAGCTCCGTGCCAATCCCAGTAAAAACCCAAGTTTTATTAGCGGCATTATTTTCACACCATATGGGACCCATCTGGGTCCCAGAACAAATCCCTTTTTTTTTTCGCTAATTGCAATTTTTCGTCTATGTGTACCAGGTATACCGGTATGAAGTGAGCGTCAAGATACAAATGTCTCGATAGGGAACATTTGTTGTGAACGAGCCTTTATTTTTTTTTGTTTGTTTGCTATGACATCTGTGAAACATATTTAGTATACATCAAGTCATTGAACAGACAACATCATATTTTTTCATCGTGTTAAAAATGTCGAATTTTGTACCGGAAAGTGATGATTTGCGGAAAGCATTAATTTTTTGTTTTCATTTGAAGAAAAGTGCTGCAGAGTCGCATTGAATGCTTGTCGAGGCATATGGTGATCATGCTCTATCAGAAGCAACATGCAAAAGATGGTTTCAACGGTTCAGAAATAATGATTTTGATGTGAGAAATGAAGAACGTGGAAGACCACCAAAAATGTTTGAAGACGCCGAATTGCAAACGATATTGGATGGAGATGACACTTTGAGTCAAAAGCAAATGACAGAAATGTTAAATGTTGCACAACAAACAATTTATGACCGTTTAGAAGCTATGGGAAAGATCCAAAAGTGTGGAAAATGGGTGCCACATGAATTGAATGAAAGACAGATGGAAAACCGAAAAAACACTTGTGAAATTTTGCTTCGAAGACACGAAAGAAAATCGGTTTTGCATCGGATTGTTACTGGCGATGAAAAATGGATTTATTTTAAGAATCCTAAACGGAAAAAATCATGGGTTAATCCGGGACAACCATCAACATCGACTGCAAAACCAGATCGATTCGGCAAGAAGACAATGCTGTGTGTTTGGTGGGACCAGAACGGTGTGGTGTTCCACGAGCTCCTAAAACCTGGTGAAACCGTCAATACTGATTGCTACCGACAACAAATGATCAATTTGAACCATGCATTAATCGAGAAACGACCAGAATGGGCCAGAAGACACGGCAAGGTAATTTTGCTCCATGACAATGCACCTGCACACAAAGCAAAACCGGTTCAGGATACAATCAAAACACTTGGCTGGGAGCTGCTACCCCACCCGCCGTATTCACCAGACTTGGCTCTTTCCGACTACCATTTGTTTTCATCGATGGGACACGCATTGGCTGAGCAGCACTTTGATTCCTACGAGGAGGTCGAAAATTGGGTGTCTGGTTGGTTTGCTTTAAAAAACGAACAATTTTATTGGCGAGGTATCCACAAATTGCCAGAAAGGTGGTCAAAATGTGTAGAAAACAATGGCCAATACTTTGAATAAAATGTTTTATACTTTCCCATTAATAATTAGTGTTTTAATTTCACAAAAAACGCTCATTTCATACCGGTATACCTGGTATATAAAGATTCCTTTGTATCATTTATTCACAAGTACTAATACAGAATAAAGTAAAATAAAAAAGAATAAAAACCATTTTGAACAAACTTTTCAGAGTTGAAATTTAAGTTTTCTTAAAAATTATGGATTAAAACTTATTCTTAATCATTTTTGTAAATATGTACTTATTTTACAGGCACAACTTTGAAAAGAAATTTATAAACTTTTTAACTAAATATAGATTTAATATTTTCCTTGAAAATTATCATTTTCACATTCAATGTTCAGAGAGCTAGTTAATATTTGTTTGACCTTGTCAAACTCTTTTTGTTTAAGCGTTTACTCTCAGGTGCTTAACCCTTTTAAAGCCCACCTATTAAAATCTAAGTGAAAATTATTTCCTATTGGGACTGTTTATTGTCTCTAATGGTAAATTAAAAAAACTGCTTATGTTGACATAAGCAGTTTTTGAGATATGGTTGGTAGCCATATGGATACTAAGGGCATTAAGGGAAGTAATTTTTCAAAATTTATTAAAATAAGTAAAAAATTCTCAAATAAACAAATGACAGTTTTCATCTTTTTAAATGTCTCTAAAAAGTTTTATATGTTTTTTTCTTTCATAAAACTAGTTTAAAATGTTAAAATAAGGTCTAGAGGTCAGAAATATTTTTTTAATTTTGCGACTTTATTTACAATGAAAATTAAAAAAACAGTTTCTAGTATTGCTCATGCAAAGGCACAAATTACATTTTTTAAAACACTTTTCCTTAGACAGTTTTTCAAATACAACATTGTTTTTTCTTTCTCTGAATTCTGGCCAATGACTAATATTGTCATACCTTGAGTCATTTACTGGATAATTCACTGGTAGGTTTGTTGTTGTAGTAATCGATGCGTTATCTGATTTCCTTTTTGATGGTCGTCCTACTGCGTTAAGTATTATTCTGAAGTAAATTTTAACAAACTCATTTGAGATTTTTTAGGCATCTTAAGTTGGTCACAGTGACGTCTATAAAGAAGCCATCCATTGACTTTTACAATATCAAGACAGTGAAAAAGCACTTTTATATACCATCTTTTTGTTTTTAATAATTGTTCTATATAATGAAATCAACATATCAGCTAAATCTACTCCACCCATTGATTTACTATACTCTTGTACTTCACTAGGACAATCAATATCCACATAATTTTCCAATCCCATCTCTTTTTTTTGGTAACTAATGAAGGATCACAATAAGTTGAAATCAAATTAACGCACAATAAGTTGAAATCAAATTAACGCACTTGTTGTCATACCATCGTGTTAAAGTTATTACGGAATTAGCAACATTTTTAAAAGTTTCACTTCCTATTCCTTTTTTTTTAAATTCCTTTTCTGTAGCTAATTGACATCCTTTTATCCGGTCAGGTCGTATAGTTACAGTAACTAAAAATCCTATTTCTTTGAGTGCAAGACATAAATGCATTGAACAAAAACCAATTTTCAAAAAAAACTTTAAAACTCTGATTTTTTGGTAACTTCTCTAGCAACTTTAATGCTACATTTGCACCAGTACATTTTTACCATTGTCGGACAAACCTGAGTGCAAAAAGAAGTCATATATTATTAAGCCCGAACAAAAATTTTAAAACCCCATTTAATCGGCTTCTTGGGGTAAATGCCATGGTATTTTGTTTTAGCTTGTATAATTTGCTCATAAATGGAATGCTCGATTTCAGATTCAATTATTGTGTAGTTATTTATAACACACGGTCGTTTAGATATAAGGAAAAAGCG